TCAGTTTTTCATTTTTGCACCAACGATGATACCACATCTCTATCTGGAGCCTCAACCTCTTCCCTGAGTCCCAGACCAGCAGTCCTGTGATCTCCTTGGTGCCTTTCCCTGGTTGTCTCCTCCCATCCATCAGATTCAATGCTGGCCTCAGCATCTCCTCAAGCCAGTGTCCCATCTCAGAAGTGTCATATTTTCTGGGGCCCCTATGAGGGCATGGGGTAGGCACACTGCCTCCCAATTCCAGGGCCTCACACAATCCCTAGCAGTTCATCCACACTCACTTTGAAGGAAGGTGATGTCAGGTGCTGGCTTTGCATCCCCAGATACACAGCTGACCACGTACTCTTGCCCAGCTACCCACGTGACTGTGCTCCCTGCCTCAGGGGTCAGCTGAAGCGTCTTTGGGGGCACTGGTGAGAAAGGGTCTGGGGTAAGCTGCCACCACCGAGAAGGATATGAAGGGTTTGGGCTTTTAGTCTCATTGCTCATGAAATCAGTTCTGCAACCTGGGTCTGAGGAAGGAGAGGCTGGGAGCTTGTATTCTTGGGTAAGAGAAGACTAGAAGTCCAGACTCATGGGTTCCGGGGAAGGGGGTATCTCTCACACATACCCAGAATGGAGAGGATTACTCTGGGAGACACGAGCTCAGGCCCTGTCTCGGAGCGGCCGACCTGGCACTCATACTCTGCATCGTCACTGAGGTCACATGCTTCAATATGCAGGTGGAATTCACCTGCAGGTAGGACCCAAGGTCAGGGCCACAGTCAGCCTCTGCTAACGGCTCAGGGTCTCAGGCTCTGATCCCTTACCTCTAGTAGGGTTGCCTTCCAGGTGGTAGCGCGGGAAGCCAGGGATCCTAGGGTCAGGACCTAGGAGCAGCCCATCTTTGGCCCATTGCACAACACTGCCAGGGGCACTGACCCCACATCGAAGCTCAGCGGCAGCCCCCTCCACCACCGTCGTGTTTTCAGGCAGAGCCCAGAAGCCTCTGGAGGCTGAGGCAGGGATCTGCACCTGGGCCAGGCCTGGGGACACAGAAAAGTCAGCAGGAGAGGGCAGAGGGTCTGTCTGGAGAATGTGAGTGGGAAATTAGGGCCTCTTAACACTAGATCACAAGGCCAGGATCCCACTTACCTGTGGTCAGCATTCCCATGAGGAGCAAGGGAGCCCGGATGGGTATCCTCTGGGCCATTCCATGCCCTCTGCCTGTGGCTCCTGCAGTGCCCACTGCCTGCCTCCTGTGTCTGCCCCTGGCTTTCTCTGGGTCCCTCTTCCTATGTCTCTGTCTCTTGCTTTTCTCTTTGTCTCTCTTTTGCCATCTGTCTCCTTCTCTTTCTCTGTTTTTCCTTCTTCCCATGAGTCCATCTCTCCTTCTCATACTCTCTCCCTCTCTTTTCCTTTCTGTCTTTCTATCTCTCTCCCTGCCGTGGGTACTTTCCCCTCTACCTTCTCCTGTCTTTCTCTCTATTTCTCTCTCCCTAAGATGCACACTCATTCTCTCTGAGCTTCTCTCCCCTTCCCCATAAGTCTCTATTTGTCTTTCTTCTCTCCTGCCACCCCAATCCCTGCTTTCCTTTCACCACTCTCAGCCTCGTAGGGAAGACCTGCTGTCAGAGTCCAGCAGGCCCTATGAGCCAAGGAGAGCAATGAGGCCGATAAGGTCAGTAGCAGAGCTGAGCCTTATTCTGGGAACCAGCCTGATCTTGTCCTTGCCTTGCTACCTTCCTGAGACACCCTCTCAAGTCTCCAGCTCCAGACCTATGTCCAGCAGGCTCCTCCCAGCCAGCTGGAGCATGAAATTCCCTGTCAGCACATGCCAGGCATATTCCTTGGTGCCTCCCCAGCCCCCATGACCCCATTAGGGAGTGCAAATCAGACCCAGGCTTTCCCAGCTCAACATGGAGATCAGAGAGCTGGGCCTGGTTCTTTCCTGCCCTGGTACATGACCTTGGCAAATCCCTTCCTTCCCTGAGTAAACATTACCCCCTCAGTGACATTAGGGATGTCTGCTGGGGAGTGTGCAAGAGTGTATATGAGAGACTGGGAGAATGCAGATATCTTTCCCCTTTTGTGCACATGTATGTGAAGTTCATTGTGAGTGAGCATTCGTGTGAGTGTGGAGAAGGTGAGAATGAACTGTGATCTGTGAAAGCATGTGCAGAGTGTGTGAGTGTATATGAGTATCTAAGGTGCAAGTGTGCAGGGGACAAGGCAGCCAGAGTGGGTGGGAGTGAAGTGTAGTGTCTAAGATAACCAGCCCCAACTGTGGGCATAGCACTGAGCCCAGCTAGGGACCCTGTGGCAAGGGCCTTGTGAGTTATTTCTAGTTCACGTAACTTCCCTCTGCCTTCTGTCTCTTCTGTGCTGTCTCTCTCCCTCCATCTATCCATCTCAATTTATCTTTCTATTTTTATTGATACTTTTTTTTAGAGAGAGAGAGAAACATCAATGTGAGAGTGAAACATCAGATTGGCTGCCTCCTGCACTGCCCCTACTAGGAATTGAGCCCACAACCTGTGCATATGCTTTGACTAGAAATTGAACTGGCAACAGTACAATATTGTGCACAGGACAATATACACCCAACTGAGCCACACTGGTCAGTGCTTGATTTATCTTTCTATCTTTCTCTGTCTGAGTTTCTTCTGTCTCCATGTCTTTCTCTATTCTTCTCTCTCTCCATTGGGTGGTTAATCTCAGTCAACCTTTAACTATGCCATTGTCTCTCTCTATATATATGCCTCTATGTATCTCTACTTTTCTGTCTCTGGTCTCATCTCTATCTCTTCCCTACCCCAACCCCCTACTCTCTCTCACACACCAGGAGCTCAATAAATATTTGTTCTCAGTCATCCTTTCACTACACTTTGTTTTATTTGTTTCTCCTGATTGCCACATCTTTGAATTTATAACTGGATGTTGGTTGGTCTGCCCTGCCCACCCCAGTGTGCTCATACATGCTCACATAGGATAAGCTTCTTCAGCCTGTTTATCTCCTGCAGGAATTGGAACCCCAGCCACGACTCCCTATGTGATCCTCCTCCAGGAACAAAATGAGGCATCTGGGCTGAACCCCTACAGTTCCATCCTTGATGCTGCCTCTAGTCTTTCTTCTTCCCTCCCATATTAAATCCGTGCACTCCCACATTTTCTCTCCCCACTGCCCACGCCCCTGGGGAATGAGCTGGATGCAGAGCGGGAGGTTCTGTCATAGGGCTCCTCACCAGATGGTGTTCATCGAGGCCAGGGTGTAGAGCTGTCAGTTGCTGGGGCCTTTAATTAGCACAAATCTTCCACACTCTACTTTGGTTGTTTTCCTTCTCTGCATGCTCCTGGGACCTCAGACTCTCCATCTTTCCAAGCCCTGTGCCCCAGAGAGTCAGGAAAGGGAAATGATATCAGATGTCTAGAAAAACAGCCTTACTGCCTGACTTCTTCCCCATACCTCAAGAACGCTGGCCCCAAACTCATCCTGTTTTAAAATCCAGGTGCTGGATCCCCAAAACAGAACCCAGAGTCTGGGCCAGGACTCACAAGTCTGGGCCTCAAGGATCCAGGACTCAGGAGTTCAGGCCTGAAGTCCCTTCTCCCCACATTCCCAAGAGGTAAATCCTCTCTCTTCCCCCCCCCCCCCACCCCCTCGAATTTAGAGCAGATGTTCACTGTCTATTGATTTTCAAGTCCTTCCCCTGGTCTGTGTAGGGAGTAGGAGAGAAATAGGTGCTTAAATCCAACTCTAAGACTTAAGACCAGATTTTCTAACCCTGTCATCCTCTCCCAACTGCACCCTGCTGCAGGCAGAGGACCTAGTTGGGTCTCCAACTTCTCAGTCAACAGATATCTGTACGGCCAGTCTTAGAATCCTGGAAGTCCAAGTCCCTGCTACTTAGGGGAAAACTCAATAATCTGCGCTCAGGAACAATACACAACCTGAATATGGGACTCCCACCCCCCAGTCCCAACAGGCTCAGGAACGTCAGACCCAGCGTCCCAAGCCCACTGTCGCCCCGAAGCCGACTGGGGTCCCACCCCCCTGCGCGGTAGCTGCGCAGCTCGCTCGCCAGCGTGCAGCGTGAGAACACCCCAGCTGGGCTGCAGGCAGCCGTCAGGACAAGCTGCGAGGTTCCCAGCCTCCCTGCCAGCCCCGACCAGCACCGCCGCCTCCCAGATGTCGCCCGGCAACCACAGCTGAGTGGGGCGAAGGGCTGAGCCCGGACTGCAGGGTCTTGGGAAAGAAGGGGTTGTGAGCCTGGATTCCTAGATCTTAAGATGTGCTATGGTTTGTGGCAGTCACTAGGCAGGCAAAGGGTTATTTTGAATAGGGGGTTTGAGGCGGGAGAGCAGAAGCCCGCTCTTCTAGGGGGTCCCAGCTGTCCCCCTTCTCCCCAGCCACGCTGGAGCCCTCTTCCTGACCTGTAGGCTCAGATGAGCCCCAGCCCCGCCTCCCCAGGGCGCAGAAACTAGCGAGGCCCCAGGGGTTCCCATTTATAGCTGATTTCCACTCAGCGCGGTCCCTCCAGGACTTGGGCTGAGCAACTTTCTTCCACTCCTCCCTCACTTCTCCTCACCCCCGCGGCCCTGCAACCCCGGCAGGTGCAGGTGTCCAACCCGGCCGACACCCCTCCCTCGGTCCAGGTTTTCCGGCTCCCAGATCCCAATAGGGGTGGGGCGCCCGCCCAAGCGGAAAGCCTTGTTCACCGGCTTCGGTCGCGGAGTTTCTTAATGGAAAGGGGGCGGGGCGCGCCGGTGCCCTGGCGAGTGAGATCAGCCCCAGGGTCTCAGAGAGGCAGCGAGCGGAATCCGCCTCTTTCAGAGCGTCGGAGCCGGAGCCAGCGGCTGAGCAAATTTGGGACACTCCAGGCCAGGGACAAGGGTGCGCCTCGCCTGGGGTGAATAAAGAGTCGGGCTCGAAGAAGGCTCCGCGCCTGAGTGGTGGGAGGTGTGCGGTCCGGGAAGCAGTTGGCAGGAAGTCTGCTGCATCTTGGGGACACACACTCAGTATGCTGGTCCCCGCCCTCCTCGTCCTCTTATTCTGCCTCAGAGGGCATGCAGGTACCTCCAAGGGAGGGGAAGGCGGTAAATATGGGGAGGGTTGTTTGCCAGCCCCTGCTTTTACTGGGGTGAATGGGGATGAGGGCTGGGACTTCTGGATCTGAGGGAGCAGAAGTCTGGGAGCCTGGGCTTCTGGGTCTGCGGGAAGAGGGGTTTGGGGACTGAAGTCCTAGGTTCTGAATGAGAGAACTCTTGAATTTGCTATACTCAGCTCTGCTCCCTTCTTCATTCTCCTAGGCCTGTCACCCCACTTCCTGCAACAGCCCAAGGACCTGGTGGTCCTGCTAGGGGATGAGGCCCGGCTGCCCTGTGCCCTGGGCACATACTCGGGAGTGGTCCAGTGGACTAAGGATGGGCTGGCTCTAGGGGGTGAGAGGGACCTGCCAGGTGAGGCTGTTCTCAGTAGGGGGGGGGGGGAGAGAATGGGGGGGGGGAGGCTGGCATCAGCTCCAGGAGATGCTGGGTGGAGGCTGTAACTGAAGTATCTATTCTGACATTTTCAAGTTTGGAAAATTAATGGGTTCAGGTAAACATTTGGGTGTCCTAAAAACTTTTGTTGTTGATCCTCACCAGAGGATACTTTTTCATTGATCTTTAGAGTGGAAGGGAGACAGGGACGGAGAGAGAGAGAAAAACTACAATTGGTTGTCTCTGGAGTGTCTCCTGCTTGGGTGGGGGATCAAACCTACAACCAGGGTACATGCCCTTGACCAGGAGTTGAACCTGTGACCTATTGGTTCAACACTAACCATGTCAGCCAGGGCTGTCTTGAATTTTTAGTTTATACTTTGGGGAAGATCCATGGTGTTTGAAGATTTTTATTTTTATTGTAAAATATTACATAAATACAGAAAAGTGTATAAAACATAAGTGGAAGATTTGCCAAGTAACTATAAAATAGACACCCATGTAACCATTACTCAGGCCCAGAAGTCCTTCTTATTCCTTCCCCCTATCATAGCTCCCTCCTCTTTACCCCAGAGGTAGCATCTAATCTGACTTTTATGGCAATTGTTTTGTGGCTTTTTTCTCTCTGAATTTATCACCCCCCAAGTTTGAAGTGACTCTGGATTGGGAGAGGGTTAGTGTCTCCCTAGCTCAGCACCCATTTTTGGGATTGGGACAGGAACTCAGAGCAGTGGTGTGACTGCCTCTTTCTTGATTCCAGGGTGGTCCAGGTACTGGATATCAGGGGATGCAGCCAGAGGCCAGCACGACCTCCACATTAGGCCTGTAGAACTAGAGGATCAAGCATCATATGAGTGTCAAGCTACACAGGCAGGCCTCCGCTCTCGACCAGCTCAGTTGCATGTGCTGGGTGAGGGTCCAACCCACTCACCTTCCCAGGGGTGCCCAGAGGGATAGCCAGTCCTAGCTTGTAGTATCAGAGTCCAGGGAGCACTGAGGAGTGGTCAAGTAGATCTGGGAAGATCTGGGTCTCTGGGCCCAGAATCCAGCTCTGACCCCTGATCCATCCACAGTACCCCCAGAAGCCCCTCAGGTGCTGGGCAGCCCCTCTGTGTCTCTGGTTGCTGGGGTTCCTGCAAATCTGACCTGTCGGAGCCGTGGGGACGCCCGTCCCACCCCTGAGCTGCTGTGGTTTCGTGATGAGGTCCAGCTGGATGGGGCTACCTCCTATCAGGTCAGATGCAAGTTCCTGTGCCAGCCCTTATTTATTCAGGCAAATGTGGGGATTCACTAAGACTACAGGCTCATCTAGAGAAGAAAAGGGCATGGGATGGCAGGGGTTAAAGGGTTGGGACCTTTGGTGTATGATTAAGGGTGAGGACTCTAGGTCTGGATTACCTGGCTCAGTCACTCCTTAGTTGATTGATCTTGGTAAATAACTTAACCTCTTATGTCCCTCAGCTTTCTTCTCTGTCCAATGAGGAAAATAGTAGTATGTACCTCATAGAGTAATTGTGAGGATTAAATAAAGCAATACTTCTAAGTGCTTAGAAGAGAGCCTGACACATAGTAAGCACTGTATTAGGGGCAGATGAAATCATTATTATTATTCATAACCTCCAGACCCTGCTGAAGAAAGGAACCATTGAGTCCGTGGAGAGCATCTTATCCTTTACCCCTTCCAGCCATGATGATGGAGCCACCTTGGTCTGCCGGGCCCGAAGCCAGGCCTTGCCTGAGGGAAAGGACACAGCTATCACACTGAGCCTGCAGTGTAAGTGCAGTTGGATGCTGGTCCCTGAGCCTGAAGTCCTTGGTGAAATAGGGGCCTGGGATCTGGACTCCAGGATATGAGGAAGAAGGGAACTGTGGATCTGTGGTTCCTGAGGGAATACAGAACTGGAGACCTGCCTGGACTCCTACTCAAAGGAAAGAGGGAACTGGAGATCCACACCTGGGGCGGAGGGGGCTGGGAGTTGGACTCCTAGGTCATCCGTGGGGTCCTTGACCATTCCTGATTATTGGCCCACCTCCACAGACTCTCCAGTGGTGACTCTGTCTGCAGAACCACAGACTGTGCAGGAGGGAGAGAAGGTCACTTTCCTATGCCAGGCCAGGGCCCAGCCTCCTGTTACAGGCTATCGGTAAGGATGATCATCTCTTCCAAGCCCAAAGCACTAGCTTGGGAAGGGTTGGAGCTGGGATGAGTAGGTGTACCTGGGGAGCAGAGACAATACTAACAATCCCACCACATCCACAGGTGGGCAAAAGGGGGCTCTCCAGTGCCCGGGGCCCGAGGACCAATGTTGGAGGTGGTGGCTGACACCTCATTCCTAACTGAGCCAGTGTCCTGCGAAGTCAGCAACGCTGTGGGTAGTGTCAACTGCAGCACCGCACTGGATGTACAGTGTGAGCCAGGGCAGGACCATGATGTGGGCAAAGTGGGACCTGCTGAAATGGCCAGGTGGGGCGGGGGGTGGACTGAGTGGGGCATGGTTGCAATGGGCTGAGGAAGGGGAGGGGGCATAAAATGTAGGCAGAGTTTGACTGTGCTGGGTCAATACCAAATTGGAGCAGGGGCAGGGCAAGTAAGCAGAGTTGTGGGCCAGGGGCCTATACTTGGGCCCTTGAGGTTGCCATTTTTTTCTCTCTCTCTTTTTTAAAAATAAGAATTCTTTTTTCTTTAAATATATTTTAACTTATTTAAAAGAGGAAGGGAGATGGGAAGAGAGAAAGAAAGGACCATTAATAACAAAAGAGAACCATAAATTGATTACCTCCTGCACACCTCCCAGTAGGATTGAACCTCTCAACCCAGGCATGTGCTTTAACCAGGAATCGAACTGTGACCTTCTAGTCCATAGATCTACACTCAACCACTGAACCACGCAGGGCTGGTGAGGTTGCCAGATCTGAGTGGCTGACTCCAGGTCAGAAGGTGCAGCCCTCCCGGTCATGTGACCCTATCTTTCCTCTAGTCGGACCGATACTACAGGCAAAGCCAGAGCCTATGTCTGTAGACCAGGGGGAAGAAGCTTCCTTTAGCTGTGCCTGGCACGGGAACCCGCTCCCACGGGTAACCTGGACCCGCCACGGGGGTGCACAGGTAAGGCCGTGTCTGGCTAGTACTGGTGGCAGGCAGCGGACGGAGCTTCCTCCCAAGGTTCTGCCCCTGACGCCCCTTCGTATCCCAGGTGCTGGGCTACGGGCCCACGCTGCGTCTTCCTTCGGTTGGGCCAGAGGATGCAGGCGACTATGTGTGCAGGGCTGAGACGGGGCCCTCTGGCCTAGGGGGCGGCGCTGCAGAGGTTAGGTTGACTGTGAACGGTGAGAAAACGGGGCTTCTTAAAGGCCTGGGATGGGCAGAGCTATAAAGCTTTCTAGAGGCGGGGCCTGGGGGTACCAGTGGGAGGCAGTGAAGGTGAGTCTCCAAGGGGTTTGGGGTTTGTGTCCTGGTTGGTTGGGGTTAGTGAGGAGTGCGGCCCGGCCTTATGGAAACAGGCTTTGGTTGGGAGGGCGGGGCCTCTACTCTGATTGAACCACAATCTCCAAACAAGCTCCCCCAGTAGTGACCGCCCTGCATTCATCGACTGCCTTTCTGAGGGGTCCCGCCCGCCTCCAGTGTCTAGTCTTCGCCTCCCCCGCCCCAGAAGCCGTGGTAAGGAAATGTCCTTGCCTTCATGACCCACCCAGCTATGATCCCTGAATTCCCAGCCAAACTCCCTGAACTGAATGACTACCTCTGATTCTCCCAACACCCTGGTTGTTTCCCTCCCTCCCTCCCAGTCTCTGATCTCCTTTTGTGCCCCAAGGTCTGGTCTTGGGATGAGGGCTTCCTGGAGAAGGGTTCCAGGGGTCGGTTCCTTGTGGAGACTTTCCCAGCCCCCGAGGGCCGAATTGGACAGGGTCCAGGCCTGATCTCCGTGCTACACATTTCGGGAACCCAGGAGTCTGACTTCAGCCGCGGCTTCAACTGCAGTGCTCGTAACCGGCTGGGCGAAGGAGACACCTGGATCAGCCTGGGCCGAAGAGGTGAGACCTGAAGCTTAAAGACCCACAAATCTGAGGGTTCCAATCCCCAAAGTCTACAATCCACAAACTGAGGGCCTCCAAATGCAAAGACCCCCTAAACCTTGAGAGCCTCAAAACTATAAGTCCATTGACTCCTGAGACACTCCCAAAATAAATTACATCAAATACAGAATCCTAAACAGAGACACCCCTCACATTCTGGTGCCCCCAAAATGGGACTCTCCAAAGTTAAAATTTCTCAAATTCTAAGACTCTCTAAAGCCAGAGAGTTTACTTATGAAATCCCAATTTCATAAGCCCTTAAGCCCTGGGTATTATAAACCTTGGGTATCTCTAAATCTGGCAACTTTTGAACCCAGAGACCCCAACCCAAGCCCTGATGCTGTTCCCCAGTTCCTCCTCAGACCATTCCTCTTCTCCTTGCAGAAGTGCTGCCTACTATACAGATTGTGGCATATACTATATGGATCATTATAGTCATCACTGGGGTAGCCCTCTGCTGCTGGTGCCAAGGCAAGGGTTAGTACCTGAGCTCTACTCCAATACCCCCCTTCCCCCTCCCGAAAAAAATCCCCCACACTTGCCCTGCTCACTGACAGGCCCTCATATACAGAATCCTAAAAACCTGGCCTTGGGACCTGGCCCAGTGCTGCCTCTCTAGCCCCTGGTGGACATTGGCTCACCTTCAGGCCCTGGTGCCTTCCTGAAGACCTAACTCCACTTCCTCAAGGTTAATTCTTGTCCTTTCAGACCAGGACTCTCAGTGGTTCCTAACCTCTTACCCTAATCCTCCAAGTCCTCTACGTTCCTGCTCATTGGTCTCCACAAACTACCCTACCCCATTGCTTAGCTCTGCCTCTGTCCTCCCACCCTCACCCACTGTTCTTGGCCTCAGCCTCTTTCTCCAAGCAAAAGAACCAGGTTCACATACCAGGAAGCAGCCATGGTTCCAGTTTGCGGGGCCCTGAGGAAGAGGAGACAGGCAGCAGTGAGGACCAGGTAGGAAGCCAGGGACCCCAGACCTAATTGTACCTCTAGACCCAAATTGTGACCTAGTGCTAACTGGGCCCCTAAACTCAAATTGGGCCCTAGTCCCAACACTGACCCCAGACCTAAATGTCCCTCAGATTCAAATATGCCCCTGACCAAGTTATTCCCTAGATCCAATATGTCCCCAAGACCCTTTGTTTTCCTGAGCCTAGACCCCAGCTGGGATAGGAGGATCGTAAGGCCACTCCTTCTCACTAAGCATCCTGCTCCAGGGCTCCATCATGCACATGGACAGCAGTGACCTGGTTCTGGATGAAGAGGGAGCTCTGGAGACTAAGGTGAGTGTTGGAAGGGAAAGGACTCCCTTCTCTGTGTCTCCAACTCTTTCACTACTTCTGTCCCTTTCTTTATTATTCTGTTGCCCACAGCGCAGGGATCTAGCCCCCTGTCCTTTTTTTCATGCCTCCTAGTCTGTCTCACCCACCTTCACATTCTAGTTTGCATATCTGCTGTCTCTGCCCACATATGTGTCCTAGCCTTGCACTCCATCTTTAGCCCCAGATCAAGGTTCATTCTGTCTGTGCTTTCCCTATCATACTCATGTTTCGGGCCTCCTGGTTGCCTCATCTTGGTTGCCTCCCTAGGCCCCTTTCACTTTCCAGGTCCCACACTTGCCTCACATCTCCCCAGACTTGCCCCACCTTTAGGTTCCCTTTTCTTTCTCCTCTGTACCTAGCACATGCTATTCTGCTATTCTTTTGGCCTAAACCCCTCATAACTTCCTTCCCATACCTACCTAATTCTCCTTCAATTCCTCTAGTCTCAATTCATACATTTCTGGTTCTAGAAAACCCATGCTTGCTTGCTTGCTTCCTTCCTTCCTTCCTTCCTTCCTTCCTTCCTTCCTTCCTTCCTTCCTTCCTTCCTTCCCTCCCTCCCTCCTTCCCTCCCTCCCTCCTTCACTCACTTCATTCTGTCCATGTTTCAATGCTCACAGCCAGGACCACTCTGATCTTGGCTTCTCCTGATCTCTGTGCTTAAGGTTCCCCCATCACAACCCTAATCATCTTACCTGTGCTTCTCCATAAAGTCCCATAATCACAGTCCCAGCCACTCTGCCTTACTCCCCCAGTACAGTGCTGACTCCTTTGGGCTCTGTCTGGTCATCTGTCACTTCTCCTTTGGCCTAGTATCTCCATGAGGACAGGGCCAGTTCTATCCAGCAGCTTCACAGGGCATGACACAAAATCAAAGCCATGGGGCTGATGGACAGAGGTGTGAATAAATATCTTGGTCTCATTCTCTCTCTTGCTCCCTCTGTACCTTCTTCCATACCATCATCCCTCAGCAGGACTATATCCTTCTGTCTCTGCCCATATCTTTCTGTTCCTTTCTCTCTTGTCACTGTGTTTGTCTTATTTGGTCTTCCTACCAGTCTATATGTCTGTCTTTCTGCCTCTGCCTGCTCCTATTTCTATCTTTTGCCTCTCACTAGGTCTGACTCAATCTCTGTCAGTGGTCCTCACCCCCCTATACATTCACATACTCACAAATCTCATTTGTCTCCTCAGGACCCAACCAATGGTTACTACAAGGTTCAAGGAGTCAGTGTGAGCCTGAACCTTGGCAAAACCCCTGGAGATGGCCTCTTCCTGCCACCTTCTTCTCCCCTTGGACCTCTGAGTACCCCTCCTTTCTATGACTTCAACTCACACCTAGGCATGCCTCGCCCCTGCAAACTATCTAGAACCCAGGCAGGTTATCTCACCACACCCCATTCTCGAGCTTTTACCAGCTACATCAAACCCACATCCTTTGGGCCCCCAGATATAGCCCCTAGGACTCCCCCGTTCCTATATGCTTCCTTCCCCACACCTAGCCACTGTCGTCTCCAAACACATGTGTAGCATCTCTCCAACTCAAAAATGCGGGGATCTTCAACTTGCTATATAGATTGTCCTGATTTCTAAAGAACCAGAACAAGTTAGTGAACCTACTTCTCCAAAACTAAACATTGAGGAGAGTGATAGATCATTACTATTGCCTGGGTTATTGATGGACAGTTTGCTCAGCCAAAAGGGATGCACTAAGTGGGAGCAAGATGGCCACTATGTCGACCTATTCCCCTGTATACAAGAGATTCAAGATGTCAAATGGTCCCTTCACAGAGGACTAGAGAAGGGGAGTGATGGGAATTAGAGGCAGATGTAGAAGTTGTTTTCAGTCACTGAAAGAAGATATTTCAAGATGACCACTTGCACTGAGAAGAAAGATAACATAGGGAAGATTAAGATAGAGCCCTAGCTGGTTTGGCTTAGTGGATAGTGTCAATCTGCAGACTAAAGGGTCCCAGGTTCAATTTCAGTCAATGGCACATGCCTGGGTTGCAGGCTTGATCCCCAGTAGGGGATATGCAGGAGGCAGCCAATCAATGATTCCCTCTTGTCATTGATGTTTCTCTCTTTTCCCCTCCTCTTCCTTCCTTTCTGAAATCAATAAAGATAAATATATACTCTGTTTCCCCGAAAATAAGACAGTGTCTTATATTAATTTTTGGTCCCAAAGATGCACTAGGTCTTATTTTCAGGGGATGTCTTATTTTTCTATGAAGAAGAATATGGTACACATTTATTGTTAAATGAAAATAAAGGAAATTTATTACCTGTATATGGTACAGTAGTACAGTAGTTGTCAACACAAACCAAACAAACTGTGAATCCTACAGTATCAAGAATTTACTCATTTATTTAATGACAATCATGTCATCATCTTCTGGAACATCATTATAACAATCCAATTCCTGAATTTCCTAGTGAATTTCTTGTGACTCCATTTCTTTCAGAATCAGTGGACTAAATAAATCTCTCATATTTAGCAATAACACTGTCTTTTAAATGAGCACTTCTTGTCAAGGTAGCCTGCTCGCAGTGCATTTGCAATGCAACTGTCAGTGATTTTCTCCCATGAATTTTTCACCCAAGTCACAACTTATTGCAGTTTAGGTTTCACAAAGTTTCTGAGACAGAGCCTAGGGGGGCCTTATTTTTTTTTGGGGGGATGCCTTATATTTCACTCAGAAGGAAACCTGTAAGTAGGTCTTATTTTCAGAGGATGTCTTATTTTCGGGGAAACACAGTATAAAGATGGAGGCCACTAGGCCCTGTCCTGGCTCTCCCTGAGGCACACTTTGCTTGGCTAATGGAAGTGAAGCCAAGATGGCAGTTCACTCCTTGGGAACCCAAGATAGCCACCATGTTGATCCCTTCCACCTTCCTTAAAGGCCTGAAAGAATTGGGTCCAAGGAGTGAGGATAGGGTGAGATTGTCATTGGAGGGGGTGGGGGTGGAATCTGGGGATGAGAGATATATGTGTAATTTTAAAAATTAAAATTTGTCTTCAGGATTCTCTTGGCATTAAGGCCCTTTCTCTACCCTAGGCTCTGAAGTGACTCTAGGAGCAATCCAGGACCCACACCCAAGCCCCTTGCTACCCGCTTAATGCTTTGGGCACTTTTAATATACATCTGTACAAACATACATGCTCAGATGCACACTCATGACATGGCTACTCCACTGGGCTTGGAAAAGACAGGATTCTACATGTCATTGCAGGAGACAATGCAGTAAACCCTGAAGGGGAGGCTGCGGGGGAGAGGCTAGAGGTGAAGAAACAGAAATTCCCTGGTCCTGAGGTGCTGAGTACCTGACTTGTATCATATTTTAAAGGGGGGCCTGGAAACCTTGTAACATGGATCCTTGAGCAAGGAATTCAAGTTCCAGACACCTGGGACCCTTGAGAAGCAGAGCAGAAGGTCTGGGACTCTTGGGTCTTAGGGGGAAAGGGCTGCTGTGCTCTTGATTGGGGAAATTTTGGAGGACTACATTCCTGGCAACTCAAGAAAAGAAATTTGGTTGGGGGTGGGAGGAGGGTGAGGAGGTGTGTATTGTCTTCAAAGCTGATAATTCCTGGAAGAGAAGGAAGCTGATTTTGAGTCCGAAGAAGGACACTAAATCCATAACCCCAGAGTCCATGACCCAGACCTCAGGCTGGATCCTGACATGGGGTGGAACATCTGGAATCTTAAGGGAGTGGGGGCTTGACGCAGGCTCCCACGTGGCGTTCGGAGCAGCTCCCGCCAGCGCCGGGCGGGCATGCTATTGTCCTGGTAGGAAGGCGGGGCGGCGCGGGGCGGGGCTGGAGGCGCCGGCGCAGCCGAGGGGCGGCGGGAGGAGGTGGCCGTGGCGCTGGGAGCTCCTGTCACCGCTGGGGCCGGGCTGGGCGGGAGTGCTGGGGACGTGAGGGCGTGAGAGCCCAGACATGGGGCACATAAGCCCCGCCGTTCGCGGTCTGGGCTGCCGCCGGGCCCCGCCGCCACTGCCGCTGCTGCTGCCACTATTGCTGCTGCTTCTGCGCGCGCAGCTCGCCGTCGGGAGCCTGGCCGGTGGGAGCCCCGGCGCGGCGGAGGTGAGGACTGGGGGGTGGGGGAAGGGGCGGGACCCGATCTCGACCCATCGCGGACGTGTCCGGGGCGGAAAGTGCCGTCTTTCCAGCCAGGTGGCCGCCCCCGGGTCCCCTAATGGCACTAGGCATTCACGACCCCAGGAGTCCAGGCCCCAGCTCCTCATCTTGTGTCGTCTTGGCCACCTCCCACCCGCCCCCAGGATTGGAACTGACTTTTCCAGAGCGCCTGGTCCCAGAAATCCAGCCTCTCAGATCCTGTCAACCTAAATGATCCAGCCCCAGTCCTACCCACCTGAACATATGACCCACCAAGCAACAAGACCCTTAGATCCAAGAATCTGGGTCCCTTTCCATCCTCTGGGCCCATATGAGGGCCCCGCAGCCTCCCAGGACCCAGGAGGTAGCTCTCCAGCCCTCAGGGGTCGGTGTCCAGGCCTGCAGGCCTGAATCCAGGCCTGTCTGTCATCTTTGCACCCAAGAATGGGAGCCTGAGCTGGGGATAGAGGGAGGAGGGGCCAGAACGTCGGGGTTCTGACCTCCTCCCCAGGGATTCAGGTTTAACCCCTTCCGCCTCTAGTGCGGCTGCGCCGGGGTGGGCGAGAGTTTGCCTCGGCCACCGCCAAGCCCTGAGAATCCTGGGGGACCCGCGTCTCCATAGCAACAGGAGAGCTGGGGCGCCCCGCCCAGTAGTAACTGTATCCCGGGAAACGGTACCTCTACCGAGGCGGTGCTCGGTGCTTGGTGAAGGGGCGGGTCTGGGATCTAAACATCTGAGTCCTAGAAAGCAAAGGACCAAGGGACCAGCGTGCCGCCATTCCCACTGACCCCTTCGCCCACATATCCAGGCCCGGGGGTCGGCGCAGGTGGCTGGACTATGCGGGCGCCCAACCCTGCATCGGGACCTGCGCACTGGCCGCTGGGAACCGGACGCACAGCTCTCCCGGCGCTGCCTCCGGGACCCGCAGCGCGCGCTGGAGTACTGCAGACAGGTGGGCGTGGCCTGGGGGAGGCCGGGTGGGCGGAGTCTAGCCAGACTGGCCCTTTGTTGTTGTTTCCAGCCAGACTCCTAAGACAGTGGTCGGCAAACTCATTAGTCAACAGAGCCAAATATCACCAAGTATAATGATTGAAATTTCTTTTGAGAGTTAAAATTTTTAAACCTAAACTTCTAACGCCACTTCTTCAAAATAGACTCGCCCAGGCCGTGGTATTTTGTGGAAGATCCACTCTCAAGGGGCCAAAGAGCTGCATGTAGCTCGCGAGCCGCAGTTTGCCAACCATGGTCCTAAGGCCAGGAGACCTGGGATCTAAGGCCAGGAAGCCAGGGGGCATGGCCAGAAGCGAAGTTAGGACAGGGCAGAACCTATTTTTGAGAAAAGGTCACAAAACAAAAAAGAAAAGAAAGAAAGAAAAAAGAGAGAAACTACGTCAGGAAAGAGGAGAACCGTGCAAAGACCAGCTAAGGAAGGTGACCCAGTGAGTGGTGGGCTCCTTAAAGAGTAGGTACATAGGAAGGCGTGGCCAAAGGAGAAGGTAGTCTGACAAAAAGTCCTTAGGGATCTAGAAGATAGGAAATCTTCTATCTTCTAGCTTTCCACTCTTTAGTGGATCCCAATTAAAGAGCGGAAAGCTAGGAGGCCTGGCTATGAAAAGGAAGATCTATTACAAAGAGAAGGGACACTGAGAAGACAAACATGAAAGAGGCGAGACTTAAGGGTTGGTGGAATCTACGGAGAGATGAACCTGATTGGGAAAGGGCCGCAAGGTGACCAGAAGAGAGGAGGGCGTAGAAGAATTGGTTTATGGGTTTATGGAGAGACCTTTGTAAAGGAACTGGCCAGGTAAAGGGGAGAGGACTAAGGACAACGGGGAGCAGGGAGGAGAGAAGGAACGGTAAGGGGGAGTTACTAGGGGCGTGGCCAATGGGCCTAGGGGACTCAGGTACCTCTCTAAGACCGGTTTTATGAAGAAGCAGGGCCTAAGGAGAAGAATGCCTTATGAACACTGGAGTCTTGAAAAGGGACATGGCCAGAAGAAAAGCATGACTACTTGGGTTCTAACAGTGGGTTGATTGCCCCACTCGGTGCCCACAGATGTACCCGGAGCTGCAGATTGCACGTGTGGAACAGGAGACGCAGGCCATCCCCATGGAGCGCTGGTGCGGGGGTGCCCAAGGCGGCCGCTGTACTCACCCTCACCACCATGTTGTGCCTTTCCGATGCCTGCGTGAGTCATAAGCTGGGGGAGGGAAATGGAGGTAGGAGTCTGAGGGGCGAGATCCTGGGCCTTGGTCTCAAGGCTCACATTAGAAAGCTAGATGCTTGAGTCTTGAGGGGGGCGGAGAAGCCTCTGAGGATAATAAACCTGGATTCTAAGGAGGGTAAGGCTAGTGGCTATGAGAGGATCTCACTCTGGTGCCCCCTTCCCCAGCGGGTGAATTCGTGAG